GGGGAGGGAAGGGAAGGGAAGGGAAGGGAAGGGAAGGGAAGGGAAGGGAAGGGAAGGGAAGGGAAGGGAAGGGCTGTTCAAAAAGAAAAAAGCTTATAGAATAAGAATATAAAGAAATATTTTTGTACAGATGTTCCATAGGCTTGCGTTTAAAGCTAAACGTTATTACAAAGGAGACAAAATGTTAAAACAAATTTAAAAGTTTATGAAGTAAACAAGTTATCATAAGCTGAAGTTATTTTACTACTGAATAAAAAATTAAAATAAATTTAGTGTGGCCTAAGTGTTTTTACAGTTTACAGTAGTGCGCAATAATGCCCTAGACTTTCACACTGACTCACCACTCTCTCTGTCTCACTCAGTGCAACTTCCAGCCCTGCAAGCTCTATTCATAGTGAGTGCCCTATGCAGGTGTAGCAGTTTTTATCTTTTATATCATATTTTTACTGTACCTTTTCCATGTTTAAATATGTTTAGATATGCAAATACTTACCGTCGTGTTCTAATAGCCTACAGTACAGTAACATGCCATGCAGATTTGCAGCCTGGGAGCAATAGGCTATCAAATAGACTGGGTGTGTCATCGGCTGTACCACGTAGGTTTGTGTAAGTACACTCTATGATGTTCAGATAACCAAGAACATAATCTCCCAATGACACATTTCTCAGAACATATTTCCATTGTCAAGTGACGCTCGACTGTAGTTGTTTTGGTAACTATTTTAAAAAATAACACCATGTTTCTGTAAGGAAAAGCAAAATTTAGAATTTATAGTTGTTTTGGTAACTCTTCTTAAAAATAACGCCATGTTTCTGTAATGAAAAGCAATATTTAGAAGTAGAATAGACTACTTTCTCTGTCCATGAATAGATATCATAGTAAATACGCAAGTGTGTGCTGAAAGTAAACACAAGGGGCACCTAATTGGAGGGTCTTAAAAGACAGGGAAGAATTATGTTGAAAAGGTAGGAGGCCTACTTAACTTCTTCCTACTACTTATTACGTTTGTAATAACTTACTGTAGTAACACTACTTATTACGTTTGTTTACCTTGTCCTTTTAGGTGTTAAAGAGATCTTCCATTCTCTTTGTTTATTCTACAGTCTCACCACTCTGCTAATTAGGAAGTTCTCAAAGGCTCTAAATTGTTTTCTCTGTAATTCCAATTCATTCCTAAGAGGATGCTTTTGTTGACAGAAAGAAATCCTGCCTTATAATCTCAACTTTTGGGTTGTTTGATTTCCAAACAGAGGCAGGTATTGACCCCTATGGGCAACTCAAGGCTCCTTTCTTCTCCCCATCCTGCTGTTGCTCCTGCCCAGGGATGAGTCAGGGTGAGGAGGAAAACACTTCAGCCTTCAAGGGGCAGGAGTGCTGGATGACAGACCTAGTTGGCAGGTTGTGCTTTGAAGGGTAGAAGTTTTAACATATGATAAAATGCCACCCTATTTGCATAGATTTTTCTCCCCTTTCCATAGGGTTCCCTCAACCACCAGATACAGCTAGGGCTGCTTCCAAACAAGAAGAGGCTGACCAGCTCTGTCACTTCCGCTGTCCCCTTTCCCAGGGCTAGGCCAGGGCACAGCCAGGGCACAGATATCTTTGAACTGGGGGTAAAGGGGCTTTTTTGCACTCCAGCTCTCTTGGAATGGCTTCTTCTCTGAACAATGGGACAAAGTTCCAAAATTGGAAGTGCACTTAGGAGGAAAAAGTGGTCATTTTCCCCAGCTTTGGTTCTAGCCTCTTAATTAAGGCTAAAAAGAATTCTCCATAATTCAAATTCTTTCTAAAGTTTTACACAGGCATGTATCGATTAATGACAAGGAAAAGTTCTGAGAAATGTATCATTAGGTGATTTCATCATTGTGCAAACACCACACAGTGTACTTAACACAAACCTAAACAGTTTAGGCTACTATATACCTAGGCTAGATCGTATAGCCTGTTGCTCCTCGGCTACAAACCTACACAACATGTTACTCTACTGAATACTATAGGCAATTGGAACACAATGGTAAGTATTTGTATACCTAAACATATTTAAACATAGAAAAGGTGCAGTAAAAATGCGGTATAAGATACTAAAAAATGCTACACCCGTATGGGGCACCTACCATGAATGGAGCTTGCAGGACTGGAAGTTGCTCTGGGTGAGTTAGGGAGTGAGTGGTGAGTGAATGTTAAAGCCTAGGACATTACTGTACACCACTGTAGACTATGGAAACACTGTACACTTAGGCTACACTGAATGTATTTTAAATATTTAATAATAAATTAACTTTAGCTTACTATAATGTTTTTACTTTATGTGATGGTTAATACTGAGTGTCAACTTTATTGGATTGCAGGATGCAAAGTGTTGATCCTGGGTGTGTCTGTGAGCGTGTTGCCAAAGGAGATTAACATCTGAGTTAGTGGGCTGGGGAAGGCAGATCCACACTTATTCTGGTGGACACCATCTAATCAGCTGCTAGCCAATATAAAGGAGGCAGAAAAATGTGAAAAGGCGAGACTGGCCTCGCCTTCCAGCCTACGTCTTTTCCCCATCTTTTTCTGGATGCTTCCTGGCCTCGAACATCAGACTCCAAGTTCTTCAGTTTTGAGACTGGGACTGGCTCTCCTTGCTCCTCGAGCTTGCCTTGTGGGACCTTGTGATCATGTAAGTTAATACTTAATAAACTCCCCTTTTTTTATATATATATATAATATATATTATTATATATATTATTTATTATATATATAAAATATTATATATTTTAAATATAACTTAAATAATAAATATTATTATTTATATATAAAATATATATATTATATAATAATATATATATTTTATAATATGTATGTATAATATATATATTATATATATAAACACACACACACACACATCCTATTAGTTCTGTTCCTCTAGAGAACCCTAATACACTTTATATATATTATAATTTTTAAACATTTTGACTCCTTTATAATAACATTTAGCTTAAAACACAAACACATTGTGCAGCCAAACAAAAATATTTTCTTTTCTTTCTTTATATCCTTATTCAGGCTATATATCCTTTTTTAAAAAATTATTATTATTTTACTTTTAAACTTTTTTTGTTAAAAACTAAGACACAAACATATACATTATCCTAGGCCTACACAGGGTCAGGATCATCAGTGTCACTGTCTTCCACCTCTACATCTTATCCCACTGTCTTCAGGGACGGTAGCATACATGGAGCTGTCATCTCCTGTGATAACAATGCCTTCTCCAGAAGGACCTGCCTGAGGCTGTTTTACAGTTAACTTTTTTTAATAGGTAGAAGAAATATACTCTAAAATAATGATAAAAAGCATAGTAAATACATAAACCAGTAACATAATTATTTAGTATTATCAGTAGTATGAACTGTGCATACTTGTATTGCTATATTTTTATACACATAGCAGAGCAGTAAGTTTGTTTACACCAGTGTCACCACAAACACATGAATTATGCTTTGCATTACGATGTTAGGACAGCTATCATGTCAGTAGGTGATAAGAATTTTTCAGCTCCATTATAATCTTATGGGACCACCATCGGATATGCTACCTGTTATTGACCTTAGCGTTCTTATGCGTTACATGACTATAATGAGGTTTGAGGACAAACCCTGCTAGAAATAAACTGTTTATTCATTTTTGCCTGCTTTGTGTTATATCATCCCATGGGACTCTGCTCAAGTTTTTCCAGGTGACCCAGCCCAATCCCATCCTCATTCATTCTATTAATGACATCCCTTCCCACCTCAATAGAAAATGCAAGCCCAAACTGAGTCAGTGTTTTCAGCCTTGGTGTCTTTCCTTTAAAAAATGTGTTCTAGGTAGCTAAACATATTCTGGTTGTGCTCCCCACTTTCAAGTGGCAAGTTTTTTTGTGAGTGAATTACTAAGAGTCTTCAGGACTTTCTACCCAGCACTTGCCTATTAATTTGCTATGACCAACCTACAACATCTGTCAACTCTTCCCATGGATTAATAGATCTGTAATTAAAATCCAACAGAGAGCCCCCAAAATTAATTAGGACATGAAACAGCCATGTAAGCAGCATGGAGCACAGCTCTGTATAAAGAAAAGAAAAGCTTCATGTAAAACAAGTGCATACCCCAGGCAGGCCTCTGTCCGTCTCTCATCAGCTGGCCCCTGAACTGCCTGTTTCTGATCTGTAACCTCATGGTGAAAGTGCCTAATAGAGGGCAGCCACACCGTGGGTAGCAATACAACGCAGTGACTGCTTGACTTTTTACTTGAAATATAATCCTCAGGGGAGCCTATTTCTTCTACTTACAGAAAAAAGGAAACTTTAGAGAGATCAAATATCTCATTGCTCACACCTAGGTTTTCCCTTCAGATCTCCATGCTCTGTGGATGAAGACTTCCTTTAAGTTTTCTGGAGCCTGAGCTTATGGACATAATGTCATGAAAGCAGGATAGTGCTGCATATGTATCTGCTTCTTACTGTGAGACCTTGGGCAAGTTATCAATACTCTGTGCCTCAGTGACTAGCACATGGCAAGTGCGCAAATGCCAGGTATATTATTAATGCTGATTGGCCTCTAACAGAAAGATAACGGTAGTGATGTCTATTTTCTCCCATTCTCAAGGGGTTATACCTAGGGGATCCATATTAACTTTAATGTACATCCAGATTTATAAAAAACGGTTTCTGAAAGCAAGGTGCCATGTTTTCTGCAACATTTGGCAATTAACTGTTTTTCTAGTTGTTGTTGTTGTTTGTTTGTTTGTTTTTTAATAATGAGGCGAGGTGCAGTGGCTCACACCTGTAATCCCAGCACTTTGGGAGGCTGAGGCTGGTGGATCACCTGAGGTCAGGAGTTCAAGGCCAGCCTGACGAACATGGCAAAACCCCATCTCTACTAGAACTTAGCTGGGCGTGGTAGTGCAGCCTATAATCCCAGTTATGGAGGAGGCTGAGGCAGGAGAATCGCTTCAACCTCGGATGCGGAGGTTGCAGTGAGCCGAGACTGCACCACTGCGCTCCAGCCTGGGTAACAGAGTGAGACATCATCTAAAAAAAAAAAGAGCCAGAAGTAAAATGTCCTTCAACATACCTGTGAAAGGAGATATATTAACACATCCAAGAATTCACTCCTTCAATGATAAAACATCTTTCTACCCTGAATAGCTACAAAATTGTACCTTTGTTCTCGTACGGTAGAAGAAGAGAATGGAAATTTCTTCCAAAATCGAAGTTGTCTTAAGATTGGCAGCCAGAGCAGGAGACCATAAAACACTGTCAGAGATGACAAGGGTTGAATTAAGTTCCAGGGACTGCTAAGAGCAACGTGAAGGACTCATCTCTGGTCAGGGATAACTGGGCATAAAAGCATATTGATTAATAATGTTACCTTCCTTTAAACCTTTTCCCAGGCAGTCCAGAAACCTTCACTGCACTCAGGTGAGAAACATGAAAAGGTTTTCCTCAAGATTTTCAATAGAAGCAACAACTGGAATAAACCAGACTTGTCATGGAACAATTTTTACCATATGGGGCCCTGATGCCTCACTGAGCAGGACTGTCAGGCCTGAGGTGGGTACACAGCCATGCTTCCTCCTCGTCAAATGCCCCCAGAGAAACTGGCTGTGCATTTTCAAGAAAAAAATGACTTAGGCTTACTCAATCCATTCAGAGACTAGGCAGAAAGTATAAAACAAATGATTCAGAAATCTCCCAACATAGCCAATATTTGCTGATAAATATTTGATACACACCTCCAGTTCCCAACCTACAGAAAGAATGTCACCTAGGCTCTTTGGAGTTGTTGGAAATAGATATTCATTGAGGTCACGCTAGCAATGGGAAATCAGCTATTAGGCTACATGTGGAAATAAGAACAACATAACTCCTCCAGGAACACAGGGATGGCTAGACTGAAGCTGGAATGCAGATTAATTGTGGTAAGATTTTTTTAGGACACACAATTCTCAAGACCCACAACCCCCACCAATGTGAATTTTCTCAAATTCTCTAGTCTCAATCCTATTAACTAACTACCCCACCCCTCTAGTTGTCTGCCTATCTAGAGACACCAATTGTTACAAAGATCTCATACAAGGACCTTGCCAGGGCAACATATTGGGACTGGCTAACAGATTTGTCACCCTTATTTTGGATGCCCCCTCCTAATCGAATCAGCCAAAATGCTGGGGTCGAATGATTCAGCACAGGGATTTTCAAAGTATGACCTGCAGGGCAAATCTGACGTGCCATCTATGTTTGTACACTCATTAGCTTATGTATTGTCTATGACTGCTTTTGTGCTACGATGGCAGGCAGAGTTGACTAGATGCCAGCAGAGCTTAAAATATTTACTACCTGGCCTCTTACAGACAATATTTGCTGATCCCTGGTTGAGAACACAGACAAGTGTTCAGTGTAAGAAAGTGCACAGGAAAGGAACTGTAAACGGGTTTTCTTAGGAAGGGCTCAAGAGTATAGAAGATAGTCTGAGGCCAAAGATCTCAGGGAAACTGCAGGGTGGCCTTCTTGGGTCCATACACATGCCATACACTAAATAAACAGGTACACATACAAGTATATACTTGTAGGTAAGTATGATTTTAAGTGAATAAGATATAAATTAATTAATTTAAAAGTGAAACTGATTCTGTACTCTTTAATAACTTTTTTTTACATGAATCAGAATGCACCTCTAATCACGATGCAAACCCCTGACACAGCAATATCAAAACTGTACATGACCTGTTTTGCATTCCTATTTAGCCCTGGAATGCAACCAACGCTATTGTTGTTGTTCTTATGTTTTTGTAAGGAACATGGTAGGACATTCACTTTATAACTGGGGGCTAAGACTAATACAAAACACGATGATTTCTACCACTTTCATCCCTACTACTTTTGAAGCTCATCCTGATCTTTTTATGATTAAGAAACTTAATGAGGAAACATTGTATGATTACTAGGCTCGAGAACTTGAAGAAAAGTAAAATTTCTGCCCATCTGCATGAAGAATTAACTTTGTCCAGTGATTTATAACTTCTTCCTTAGTTGATTGTGAGCACTTGGGATGCAGATTGGATTTGTGCTTGTTCATATACCACTAATTCCTAGCATCGTGACTGGCGCATTCGGGGACTTCATTATATGTTTGTGGAATGAATGAGTGCATGCTGCCATATGTTCTCATTGCTCAGTTGGTAAAGCTAACATAGAAGGACTTTTAACTGTAAAGACATTAGGAACACCTTAGTAACTGCGCTCATCACTATAGAGATGGGCTAGCACTGAAAAGTAAAAGTTCTCTCTATAAAAGAGTGAGGCACAGAATGAGATTCAGACTGACTAGAGCTCTCTTCTCCTACATTACAATGGTCATTACGTTATTTGGTCATTACATTATTTGTGCTCAGGCCTACACTAACAGGCCTGAGTCTAACCCTATGCTGCCCAGATCTTTAATCCAGGACTCAATCCTCCATGCAAAGTTAGTTCCTAGTTTGTACTCCCATGATACTGTGTCCATATTTTTATTTACCACTTAGACTGAACTGCAATGATCTGCTTACTAGGAAGTTTCCCTCACTGGCTTAGGAGTTCATGTTGAGCCTCTGTATAAAATTCAATAATGTGTGATAAAGAAAGGAAGGAATAAATGATCTAATAAGGATATAAAATATAAGTCACTATCCCCTTTTGTCTCCTTGACCATCTATGCTGATTGATCGTGACATCCATCCTCATTAGACTTACCTTCAACCTCTCCCCTTTCTTAATGGTTTTGCCTCTCCAAACAGTCTCTAGCAATATTTCAAACTTTGGGCCAGGTGCAGTGGCTCACGCCTGTAATCCCAGCACTTTGGGGGGCCGAGGAAGGTGGATCACTGGAGGTCAGGAGTTTGAGAGCAGCCTGGCAAACATGATGAAACCCCGTCTCCACTAAAAGTAAAAAAAAAAAAAAAAAAATCAGCCAGGTGCGGCGGTGCGTGCCTGTAATCCCAGCTACTTGGGAGGCTGGGGCAGGAGAATCTCTTGAACTCAGAGGCAGAGGTTGTAGTGAGCCAAGATTGTGCCACTGCACTTCAGCCTGGGTAACAGAACGAGACTCTGTCTCAAACAAAAACAAATAAGTCACACACACACACACACACACACAAAGTTTGCATAACTATAGGTATGCATGTGTTATCAGAGATTCAAATCTCAGACATGGCCTTTGTGAAAGCATCCCCTCCTGCAGCCACCTAATTTCTGATAACACGTCAGCCTTCCCAGACAGTTCCTTCCCCTGGATCCCCCATCTGCCTGCTAAATAAGTAATACCAGGTTTCACTGCCAATGTAAGACACTCAGGAAGTAAAAACAGCAGCATCAATGTGCTTCCTGGCAGCACAACTAGACTTCAGCAAATAAAACACCCTGAAAACAGCTGGCTGGGGTTCCCGGAGCCCTCTTCCCCCTCCAGTGAATCACTCTGTAGAATGTGGCTGCCCAGCTAGGCCTTTGCGAGAATTTGATAAGTTAAACAAGGCTGCCCTCTCATGGTTAAAAAAACTACCTGTTATAAAATATTTTCTATTTTTCAAACACGAGAAATCGAGGGCACCTCACTGAAATACCTGTGTAATACTTATCTTTTTAAAGCAGATAATTTAAAGTATGCTGCATTCAACTTCTAAGAAACAATGAATGAGAAGTAAAATTAGAAGTGAAAAAGTATATTCAAAATTTTAAAACTTGCTCTAGATTGAATTATCATCAATAAGAATTCATTGGCCGGGTGTGGTGGCTCAAGCCTGTAATCCCAGCACTTTGGGAGACCAAGGAGGGCAGATCACCTGAGGTCAGGAGTTCACGACCAGCCTGACCAACAAGGTGAAACCCTGTCTCTACTGAAAAAAAAAAAAAAAATTCATTGATTCTAGATTTTAAGTAGATGAAATAATTGCTCAACCTTGATGAGCCAATAATAAAAAAAGAAACAAAGAATTGCTTAATACATGGGATTTCTGTCTTAGGTGATTTATTTTAGACTTTAGTTGGCTTACACAGCAGTAACACTGGTTCTGTTTATGCATTAATTCATTTAGTAAATATCTGCAGGGAACATACTAGAGAATCTCAACTACTATAAGATGTACTGTTTTTCCTCCGTATTTTAAACATCTCTAATGCAGCCAGGCATGGTGGCTCACACCTGTAATCCCAGCACTTTGTGAGGCCGAGTTGGGCAGATCACCTGAGGTCAGGAGTTAGAGACCAGTCTGGCCAACACAGCGAAACTTCGTCTCTACTAAAAATACAAAAAATAATTAGCCAGGCATTCTGGTGGGCGCCTGTAATCCCTGTTACTCGGGAGGCTGAGGCAGGAGAATTGCTTGAACCTGGAAGGAGGAGTTTGTAGCTAGCCAAGATGGCACCACTGCACTCCAGCCTGGGCGACAAAGGAAAACTCTGTCTCCAAAATAAAAATAAAAATAAAAACATCTCTAATGCATCTCACAATCTGTGGTATGTTATAATCTCTGTCAGCCAGGCAACAGCAGAAGTGCATACACAGTTGTCATTGCGTGGGTATGTGCAATCTGCTTGTCATTTCTGGTGGCTTATGGGACACTGACACCCTTGATATTTCAGTCCCAAATCTATTTAAGGACCATTTTGGGAAGAAAAATGAGTCCTGTTTGTTGTCTGGAAAAGCTTTCATTGATACTTTGTAGTAAGATTTAAAAAAGCACCACCATCAAAACTTAAAATGAGTGTCAACAGCTTAGAATAAAGTATTGGGAGACAATAGCAGAGCTCTCTAAAGAAAAGCAGGGTCACCAGTGCTGATGGTGGCATAAAAAATGACAGGTTGGGGAAAAACACACTGATGTCTCTGAGTCAAGGAGTGAGTTTGGAGAGTTGGATTCTGTATGGGAAGAAGAAATATCTTTGTTAATTAATTAATTAATTTTGAGATGGAGTTTTGTTCTTGTTTCCCAGGCTGGAATATCTTGGCATGATCTTGGCTCACTGCAACCTCTGCCTCCCAGGTTCAAGCGATTCTCCTGCCTCAGTCTCCCAAGTAGCTGGGATTACAGGCACCCACCACTATGCCTGGCTAATTTTTGTGTTTTTAGTAGAGACATGGTTTCACCATGTTGGCCAGGCTGATCTCGAACTTGTGTCCTCAGGTGATCCACCAGCCTCAACCTCCCAAAGGGTGGGATTACAGATGTGAATCACGGCATCCGGCCATCTTTGTTAATTTATTTTGCTTACATTTTCTTTTTCACATATGCAAAAGAGTCATATATACAAAATATCAGGTCCAATAATTCTCAAAACATTATTTAAATAAACACAAAATAAAAATTATAAATAATAAGAAAACAGTATCTCATAGTTTAACTGGCAGTTTTTCTTTTCCTTTTTGTTGTCCCTAAAAAAAAAAAATAGTGCATCTTATCACAGAAAGAGTTTTAGATGTAATGAACTATAGAACATACGAGGCGGTGTTACAGTCACTGAGTAATGCAGTGATGAGCAAAACAGAACTTTCTGTGCCCTCCCCAAGCCAGATAAGAAGACATCTATAAATACGCAAACAAATGAAGAAATGAGAGCATTTCAAATAGCAGTAAATGCTATGAAGACAATAACCCAGAAGAAGAGGATTAAGAGAGGTGGGGCGGGGGACAAGGAGGCTTTAAATCAGTACTGAAGGTAGAATCAGGAGAAGTACATGGCAGTTGCACATCACACCATAATAGGTAGGAGAAGAAATGCTTTCAAGGAGCAGGCAGAGGTCAACAGTGACAAATGGTGTCAGAAGAGAAAAGAAGGTGAGGTGAGAGGACTGTTCTTAATGTCGGCAAGACGATGTCTTTTAAAAACGGTATTATAGCTGGACTAAAGTAGGTTATAGGATGATGGACCACCAAATCTGCATTTTTTGGGTAGATCTGCTTTAGGACCTGAGGGAAAGAGTTGGCCTGGAGGGCTGTGGCTGCAGCGCAATATAGAATCACAAGGGTATATTTTGTGGATCAAGGGAGCAACATGAACTCTTGCAAGGCAAGTTTACAAAACAATTTCAGATTATTAACAGTGTTATAAAGGACATAACCAAGATGATATGATGGAAAATAGGGAAGAGAAGCCTACTTTAAGCTTTGGGCTTTAACAGGTATTGAACACCAAGGACATGCCAGGCATTTATTAAAAGCATTCAAATGGCAACTCATTTAATCTTGAGATCTACTTTTGGAGATATGTTCGATTAGTTCCATTGTTACAGATAAATGTTCTGAAATAGTGATTTGCCTGTCAAAGATCAATTAGCAAATGGTAGCCCTGGGATTAGAACCAAATTTGACATTGAAATTAAATGTGTTTCCCTTGCTCTACACCCCTTTTTTCAAGGCTTTCCTGCAAAACAAACCTCAAAGCAGCCAGCCTTTCATAACCCCTGCCACAAAAATCCCAGCTCATGGTCTCTTTTTAGAGCCCCATTCCTATGAGACCTTTTTCAATGGAATTGATCACCAAGTTGCACATTATTCATAACATGCTAACAGAAACCAAATGTGTAATTATACTGATGCTAGTAGGTACTGATAGATAAAGATCCCAAACAGCATCTTTTAAGTAGTGGCTTTTAGAGAGACATTGCCAAACCTCAAATGCCATTTTCTAATAGTGGAAATTTTAGGCCACCTGGTAGATTGGAAGGATAAATGATCACGATAACTAGTTAATATTTACTGAGATTTATTATATGCCCAGAATCATTCCAAGTGCTATAAACATAATATCTCATTATTTTTCCTAACAACCCTATGAATTCAAAATTATTTGTATCACCTGAGAGCTGATTTGAGCCCAGCTAATCTGATTTGCAAACTAAAACTAGGATCCCAAAGGAACACACAGGAATTAAATGACAAACCCCAAATGAGTTGTGTGCACCGATGATATTATAAAACTCACAGAAAGCTGGTTGGCTCAGGTTTTGAAAATATTGATTCCTTTGGTTTATTTTCCAGATAAAACTTTGGTTTTAAGACTCACAGGAATCCACTGAGATAACAGATTTAACCAACAGGTGCCCTTTAGTCTCCCCTCTCAATGGAGATTCTTAATTGTACAGATGATGAGAGAAACCAAGGAACCTTTCTTTGTGATTTAAAGATTAATGTTTGGAGGATGCTTGTGGTTTAAAATCAATCAACAAACTTCTGGTTGGCATTGCTGCATAAGGAGCACTGAGCTCGTTGCTTCAGATGCTCTCCAAGATCAGCAACAGATCCTTGCTGGTGGGGAAGGCAGGGGCTGGCAGTGTGATGCAATGGAAAAAGGCTTAAGCTTGGAAATGAGGAAAACCCAAATTCACCTCCATATTGAGAGTGACTTTAGGCAAATTAGTTAATGAAATGGGAGTAATTATTTTTTAAAAAATAATCCTGAAGTTTATTGGAGATACCAAATAGGAGACATAGGAGACATAGGAGAAAAAAAAAAAAAGAAGAAGAAGAAAAGAAAAATCTCCCACATAGAAGTATGTTAAAAATCTATCTCTCTGGATGCTTGGTTCCTTCCTAGTTCTCATTATCTGATGGAAGGCCACTGACACCAACATTGGCCTAAGCTAAAATTGGCTTTCTTTTTCAGAGATTGTAGGTTGATTGTAGGTTGCAGAAAAGGCAAAACACTTTGCTAGAGGCTGTAGCATGGAATACAGATTAGGTTGGTGATGTCACAAAAGAGGGTTTCAACAGTGTCAGCAGAGGCTGTAGTGATGACTAAGGAAGTTGATAAATGGCACCATCTGAAATAGTTACTCGCCCTGAATAGGCAGGTGGAGAATATTAGTTACAGATGAGACAAATCCTATTATGAGAAATAGCATCACAACAAGAATATTTCATTCCAGATTTTAGAATCCCAGGTTTTGGCTCACTTCGGTCAAGAAAAACTATAAATAATTGAGTTCGAGATAAATAATTAAATGTTAGCCTCTTGGAGTGCATGGCAATTGGTTTTGATGTCTATATTAAAATTCACAAGACCACGGACATAAGTCAAAACAGGTCCCCTTCGTCTCCCTCGTCACCATATCCAGGGCTAAAAATCAGACTTTAAATGGGTGCCAGTTAGACTACAGCAAACAGGATCTACAAGCACCAGGAGCTCATCTATGGCTATCTGACATGGCCTGGGGACGCATCACTCTGGCAGCTGGAGATTGTTAACATCGCCAATTCAATGTTAATTGAATGCAAAGGAATAAGAAGTAAATTCTGGTTCCGAAAGGGCAGCTGGAAAGGTGTTGGGCTTCTCAAACTCAGGCCTAAAACCAAGCATCCTCCTTGCCAGAGGAAACGGAAAGCCCCTCCCCCATTTTTAGAATCAGGCTGGAAAACAGGGCTCCCAGAAAGTGGGGTTAGAAAACAAGCGTGGCGGCGCCCTGTGGTCCCTCGAGGAAACAGGAGAGAGACAAAGAGGGCCTGCTCCTGGGAAGCCCTAACTTCGAACCCAATCCTTCCTCCTAGACATTACCTACAGCTTCAAAGGGCAGGGCGCACACCTCCCCTCCCGCATCTGTAGGGCGAAGGCAGGTCAAGGGTAAACATTTCTAGTTATTCAATTTATTCAGTGGTTAACTATTTTGTGGGTACCAGACACCGACCTAATCGGTTTACGTCCTTCCCTTAATTCTCACAATTCTAAATTTGTGTTATTAACCCCTTATTATCTTTGGTCTACCAAGGGCAGCCAAAGAGGCGCAGAGAAGAGTGACAATCTGCCTAGCAAGCGGCGGGATCAAAGCCTGGGTCTCTACTTCCCAAGCTGGAGATCTTGGGCTGCCTGCTCCTCCTGCGCGGGGCGAAAAGCCCACCTGGGATCCGAGCGGGCGGCCGCGCCACTCTCGCAGGCTCCATACGCCCACCGCTGCCCGCCTATACCACCTGCAGCGGGCAGCGACGCCTCCTTGCCGGTCCCGCAGGGCGCGCTGCAGGTGCGCGGGGCGTCCCGAAGCCCCGCCCTAGCGTCCCTGCCCCGCGCCCCGCTCCTCACGCTCGGTACCCGCGCCCCGCAGCGGCAGCGCACAACGCACCGCCTCCGCCAGAGCCAGGGAAGCGCTCGGGCGAAGAGGAGGAGCCAAGGGTACCGAGCGGGTGGAGTCGGGAGCCAGAGAGCGGTGGAGGCGGATTTCCTGGGCCCGGCCCTCTGGAGCTACCATGGCGTTTGGCAAGAGTCACCGGGATCCCTATGCGACCTCCGTGGGCCACCTCATAGGTAAGGAGGCGCGGGGAGAGACGCCCAGGCAGGCAGGGGACCGTGGGATCCTTTCCTGCTTGATCCATTCTCGGCCTGCAGAGGACGGAGTTAGTCCAACTTGGAGAAAATCCTTCCCCTCCCCCAGCAACTTTCCCAGGGCACCCGCATTCCACCCGGCCCCCTTTCGTCCGTTTCCTTCTTGGCCAACTCACTCTAGAACCCGCAGTCCTCAAAAATGTACCTTCCTTTCGATGCCTCCTGGGGAGTGGAACCAAACAGGTGAACCGCGGGAGTCAGGCATGGAGTATTTGGGCCTCCACGAGGAGACACCAGAAACTTCTCGGCCAGGGGAAAGTTATTCCTAAAGGCACACTCTCTAGGGCACGGTATTGTTATGCCCGTTTTACAGATCAGAAGAGGAGGCTCTGGGAGACTAAGTGATGTGACCTTACTGTGAGGGGCAGGTCTCCCCAAACCAGTTTTCAATAGTGCCAAGCTTATACAACCTAGATTGCTTTTCTGGGTAAACAAAGAGAATGAAAATGCGTGACATTGGAGTGAAGAGGAGGGGAACAGAGGAGCCACCTGGGGGCACGGAGGTCTCTTGCAGGCCGCTAAGGACTACACCGGCATCCACCTAAAAGATTTCTCTCTCCTCCGAATGTACCTTGCATGATGTATGTAGAAGCCAGTGATTGGACTCTTACAAGCACCAGCTCACTGCTCCCTCTTTTCCCTGATTCCTCCCTTGGGAATTGGGTGTGGCGCGAGTGCATATTAATGCCAGGCAAAGTGTGATGATGCCAGGAACTTAGTGGGGTGATGAAATCTTGAGAACCTAGTAGTTGTAGTAAAGAGGCCGAGATTTGGAAAATGTAGCTCACAGCTCTACTAACTGCCGTGACACCGAACACACCACTTAAACAGAACCTTAGTTTACACATCTTTATAAAATGGTCAGAGTAGCTACCATTGAGGAGATGCTTTCCCTTGATGGCTGTGCTTTGTTGGATATTAGAATGAACCCTGAGCAGAAATGGGTTCCGACTGTATCTTCATAGGTAAAAGAAACTTCAGCAATTCATCTGCTTAATTTTTTAATTCTGTAAACATGGACTGTCAGCTGTGTGTCTGGACCTGGATCAGGCACTGGTGAGGCCAAGGTGAGACGTGATCTCAAACCTGAGGGAACTCATTTTCTTGTAGGGAAGGCGGCACGGTTTTGTGCCGCACCTTTGCAATGCAAGAAAATGCAAAACACACAAAACTTACCGGAAGGGAGAAATGAATTCTACTGTGGCTTTTGAAGGGTGAATGGGAGTTTTCTAGGAAGATAAGCTTTGTCCATTTGGTGCCAAATTCAAGTTTTGTTTTTTGGTTTTTGCTTTTTTTTTTTTTTTTTTTGAGTGTCGCTCTGTCACCCAGGCTAGAGTGCAGTAGCGCTCGGCTCACTGCAACCTCCGCCTCCCGGGTTCAAGCAATTCTCCGTTCTCAGCCTCCCGAGTAGCTGGGACTACAGGCGCATGTCACCACGCCCAACTAATTTTTGTATTTTTAGTAGAGATGGAGTTTCACCATACTGACCGGGCTGGTCTCGACCTCCTGACCTCAGGTGATCCACCCGCCTCGGCCTCCCAAAGTGATTGGGATTACAGGCGTGAGCCACCGCACCTGGCCTCAAGTGGTTCTTTTCCTTGATTGAAAGCAAGCCAAACTTTGGGGTTCCCCGAAACAAGTCCTTATTCTTTCTTTCCCTTCTCTATCCTTTTTGTTTTTTTCTCCATTTTCCCCAGAACCCCGTGTTTTCATTCTTAAGGATCTTATCCTTCTCTTAGGAAGATGTTAGCGCATTCATGTTGAGTGTTCCATTACCCTTTCCAGGTAATATCTTGTATTGCCTGATTATCTAATGATAGGGTTCCAAGTGCAGAAGCATTCTGGTCAGCCTGGTGCCCCTGTGGTTAGTTTAGATGCTTGTTATTATTAGTTTGGATAGTTACTCAGTGCCAGTTTGAAATAATTAAGACTGATAGTAAAAGTGTATGCAATGGAAGTTTTTACGTAGTCGAGATAAGCAGTGTCTTTGCAAGTATTGGTTGAAGTTATAATAATTGGTAAAATTAGAAGGAATCGTGAGATTAAGATAGGAGAATAAATATATTACTTTTATTTGGAGTTGTGCCAATATTTTGGCTCCTAAGACCAACAGATTACTTCTCTCCTTTAAAAATTCTTTCCTCCTGTCCCCCCAGAGAATAAATTATTTTTAAAAACAAACAGTGAGACCAAACAACCTAGATTTGAATGCCAATTCTACTTCATACTGACTGTATGACTTTGGTAATTTCCTAACCTCTCTGAACTTCTGTCTCATCATCTCTAACAGTGGGTTAAATGAGATTGCATATGATAAAATACATAGCACTATGCAGTTCACCTTGTAGGTAGCTGCTCACTAAGCCCTAGTTCCCTTGTCTGAAAGCCAGGCAGGTGGAGATTTAGCTGGCCTGGCCTGGGCCTGTGGCCAGGTATTGTGCTTGCAGTCTTTATTAATAGATCACTCATTACTGTTGCTGCAACAGTACTCTGAACTTGGGTTCTGATTGATTCCTGAATTACTGAGAACTGTTCCAAAAAAATCACTTTGCCCTTTGGCAATATACACTTAATGACACTTGCTAGTGCAGCCTAGGCAGATTATTTCAGGAATACCAGACATTTTTTATTCTGTCGTAGCTCAGACTCAACAGCTTTTTCTTGGCAGAAAAGGCTACATTTGCTGCAGTTCAGACCGAAGATTGGGGCCAGTTCATGCACATCTGTGACATAATTAACACTACCCAGGATGGGTGAGTACAGCATAGTTTCCGTGTATTTGCCTCTGATAAGAAGCATCGGAACTACAGCACGTTTTCTCTTGCAAATGTTTCAGTTTTGTTGTTGAAAGAGTGTTTTCATCATTCATTAGGCGCCCTCTACCTTTTGAAGACTTGTCAGATTGAAATATTGGGGCAGCTGCTTGCTTCAGCATGTAGAGTATCTATAAATCCACTATCATTTTTTTCCTCTTGGCAGTTTCTTTAACAGTTTCAAATTTTGTCACTGTGAAGCTCAAATTGCTTCTTTTTAAAAGATTGAAAAAGGCCAGGTGCAGTGCCTCACGCCTGTAATCCCAGCACTTTGGGAGGCCGAGGTGGGTGGATCACGAGGTCAGGAGATCGAGACCATCCTGACTAACACGGTGAAACCCCGTCTCTACTAAAAATACAGAAAATGAGCTGGGCGTGGTGGCAGGCGCCTGTAGTCCCAGTTACTCGGGAGACTGAGGCAGAAGAATGGCGTGAACCTGGGAGGCGGAGCTTGCAGTGAGCTGAGATTGCACCACTGCACTCCAGCCTGGGCAACAGAGCGAGACTCTGTCTCAAAAAAAAAAAAAAAAAGATAGAAAAAGAGAGATTGTTTCCTTCTTTAGGAATATCTCCAGCTCCCATGGCCAGTATTTGATGAAACCGTCAAATATTATCAAGAAGCTGGTTGACTCCTGGTGGTGACCTATTTCTGGGCAATTGTCTTTAGTAACCAGGAAACAATATAGCAGTCTTTTTTCCTCCTTGTCACAGGACAATTTTTTTCCTTCTGAATGTCAACTCACCCATGTTTAAGCTGTATTCTTATAGCATGTGCTATCTTTTGCCCTTAAACTTCTTAAACTTTAGAGAATCGAAGTTGTAAGAAAAAAGTCATTAAGAAGAACAAACTGGTTTGCATGTAGTCAATTACAAGTTATTCTTTGGAACACAATTCTGGTAATTTTCCTGTGCATATTAAAGTGATAACTGACAGTAAAAGAGATTTAGTCTAGCTTATATTGATAAAGAAAACATCAAAATTATTGGTTATAAATAAATGGAAAGTGCTTATGGTTAGTACTTTTTTTTTTTTTTTTTTTTTTTTTTTTTGATGTTTAAGCTGTATTCTTATAGCATGTGCTATCTTTTGCCCTTAAACTTCTTAAACTTTAGAGAATCACAAAGAAAAAGTCATTAAGAACAACAAACTGGCCGGTCGCTGTGGCTCAAGCCAATCCCAGCACTCTGGGAGGCCGAGACGGCGATCACGAGGTCGGGAGATCGAGACCATTCTGGTGCTAACCTCGGTGAGTGTCCTCGTCTCACAAAGAATACAAACTAGCCAGCGAGGTGGTGAGCCAGCTACTCGGGAGGCGGAGGTAGGAGAATGGCGTGAACCCGGGAAGTGAGCCAGGCGAGCAGAGATCTCGGGTTACCGTGATCTTCCAGTTACGGCTGTGGAGCGAGACCCGCCTCAAAAAAAAAAAAAAAGAAGAACAAACTGGTTTGCATGTAGTCAATTGGCGTTATTCTTCGAACACACTTGCAATTTTCCTGTGCATATTAAAGTGATAACTGACAGTAAAAGAGATTTAGTCTAGCTTATATTGATAAAGAAAACATCAAAATTATTGGTTATAAATAAATGGAAAGTGCTTATGGTTAGTACTTTTTTTTTTTTTTTTTTTTTTTTTTGAGACGGAGTCTCGCTCTGTTGCCCAGGCTGGAGAGCAGTGGTGCAATCTCGTCTTACTGCAAGCTCCGCCTCCCGGGTTCACGCCATTCTCCTGCCTCAGTCTCCCGAGTAGCTGGGACTACAGGTGCCCGCCACCTCGCCCGGCTAGTTTTTCGTATTTTTTAGTAGAGACGAGGTTTCACTGTGTTAGCCAGGATGGTCTCGATCTCTTGACCTCATGATCCACCCATCTCGGCCTCCCAGAGTGCTGGGATTACAAGCTGGTTAGTACTTTTAAGTGTGTATGGTTTTTTTCCTATAATTCTATTTACCATGTTTAGTTCCTCTGGGAACATTTTCATTGATAATACCAATTCATTGATAATACAAAAAGAGAGTCTTAAATTTGGACCCTTATAAACAGTTATTTGTAACGTTAAATTGTGGCGTATTGGCAGCTGACCTAGTTTGTTGTAATTCCTCTTACATCCCCTTGTCTGTAGGGTGCTCAGGAAATACTAATAGTTTTAATAAAAATGGTAACATTTGTTGTTTCAGAAGTTGCATTTCCTATAAGTTGGTTCTGTGCATTGATAGAGGGATACAAGAATGAGCGCATTTCATGGGTGATGCTTTCTAGGTAATAGATTTGTACAAAAATATTTTATTTGATTCTCATAAGGGGATAGGTGGTATTTTCTGCCTGTATGTGTGAAGAAATTTAGGTTCAAGAAGTTAAGTCATTCGTGTAGGGTCCCACAGTAGGACCAAGGCCTTGGTTTTCTCCTTAGCCATTCCTCTCTCCACATGCATGTTGCTTTTCAGATAGACTGCTTGTTTTCAGCAATGCCTAAATTGATGATTTCAGTGTATTTATTACCGTAGGCCAAAAGATGCAGTGAAAGCTTTGAAGAAAAGGATTTCCAAAAACTACAATCATAAAGAAATCCAACTTACCTTGTCAGTAAGTACTTTAATTTTATAAGTAAGACTCAATTTCTTAAGCTATAGTTACATTTTTAATCCTGGGTGAAAAAATAAGAAGCAAGTATTCTGAGAAAACTAATAGGTTAGCTAATAGATTACCTAAGAGTTGTGTACAGTATGAGTTAAAATTCTTCATTTATGAGAATTGCAG